TGCAACCTCCCTCTAGGGAAGGCATCACTGTTCACATCAGGCGTTGAGGAAACTGAGGCACAGGGAGATCGCGTCTCGTCCTCACAGCCTCATAGCTAAGTGGCAGAGGTGGGATTCAAATCTGGGTCTGGCTGACTCCATCAGTGTATTAACTAGAATTCTGTCCCCGCTATTACAGAAGCCTCAAAGAACAAGAGTTGTTTCCCTCCCTGCCACCCTTCTGCAAGCAAGCAAGCAAACCTGGAAAGCTGGCCTCATCCTGCCCCAAGAGAGAATAAAAAGCCTTTGTTTTCAAAAGCCAAGGCTTCTAGAGGTGAATTAAGCTAGGCTTTCTGTCTGATATTGGGTTACCTAGGTGAGGGCTCGATTGGAGCCAAACAATTCAATTTAGAAAAAGCAATGCTGTTGTTCATCTAAAAATGGTGGATGAAATACATGCCATTCCTCTCTGCCCTCCTGAAACCTCATAAAAATGACAGTAAAGGGCTCTTATTTTTAAGGGACAAACCCACAAGGATAAAGAGAACTGGGCAGGAGGCAATGGAAGCAAAATTCAGGACGCTAGAAAATAGGTGAGTGAATGGCAATGGACTTAGCAGACCACGAAGGCTGAATTCTAAACAGGAAGGCGGAAGGGTAAGACTCACCATGATTTACCCTGCAGAAGCCACCCCGACATGTCCAGAACTGGTGCCACCAAGTACCTCCAGAGGTGGGGGTGAAGGTGAGTCAAAAACAAGAGGGTTGCTTGAAAGTCTACTTAAGAAGAAGCTAGCCTCCGCCTTGTTCCATGCTGCTTGGCCAGATAATGCACCCCTGCACCTGGCTAAGGACTTGGAGAGAGAAAGCCAGGGAATCTGTATACTGGGGAGCATCTGGCACAACTGATGGCAGGGAACTATACTGCCCTATAGTAGAAAAGAGAAGCTTTAAGAAAGCATTTACACACTGAACATTGAAATATTGCAGGGCCCCCCCGCACCCCAAGTAGCCAAGAAAATGGCTGAAAAGAAGACTCAAGTTGTAGAGAACACAATTATTTGCATCCCACCACCATACACACACATTCACACATTTGCATTTTGATGGATCAGCCCTAGCAATGGCCTAGCTTGTCCCCATAGTCATGGAGTCAGTTTGTTGCTGCAGCCATTAAAAGCCAAAGCTTCCACAGCACTGGCTACTTGAGGCTCTTTAAGCCACCAATAGGCACATCCTGACAGCCTAACCACAGTTGCTATGCCTCTCACCTGCCCTTCCCCTGGCCCCCATGACTAGCAGGTGGGTGGTACCCACGAGTACACAACCCGGAAGCACAGCGAAATTCAGGTTGAGTGGAGCAAACCTTTGATCACTGGGAGAATGAACCCAGTGGATAAATTCAAGTGGTCCTGAATTCAATTTGTGCAGCATCTTGGTAGGGCCATAAGATCCTGCAGTCAATTACACTTAGCAGCCAGCTTAAAAATGGATCCTCTTAACATCTCTCCCTGCGTCTCTGTGTGTTCCTTGAGCTTGCACTCACTCTCCAACAAAACAATAGCACACAAACTTTCTGCCCCAGGCTCAGCTACTGGAAACCCAGGTGAAGACAAACCAAGACACATCATCATTGTGAAATTTCAGAACACTGGGGGAAATACCCTACAAGTTTCCAGCGAGAAAGAAAAAAACTGAAACAGGTGTTATACAAAGTAATCAAGAATAAGAAAGGCTTTGGCCTCATTACTGCGACATGGAAGGCTAGAGCACAACTGAGCAAATCCTTCAAAATCTGACAGAAAATGATTTCTCCTTAGAATTTTATATTCTGCCTTAGAATTTTATACTCAGCCAAACTATCAATCCCACTGTGAGGGTAAAATAAGAGCAGTTTCAGACATAACAATGTTTCCTAATGGTTTACTCCTCAGCACCAGATCACTTGGACCAATGCAGCTGTCAACACAAACACAAAGGCAAGCATAAAATTTGCAGTGCGATGGGGGTTCCAACTGACGGGAAAGTTAGTTTCTAATAGAGCAAATTAGGCAAAAATGAAGTCTAAATCAAAACTACCCTTGAAAATCCCTTAAGAAAGAAAGAAATTTATACACATCTATTTTTCCTCCAACCTTAAAACAGAGGCTGAGTCTTTTGTCTCAAACAAATAAAACCACAGAGTTGGGAAATTCCAGTAGCACACTCAGCCTCCGAGACCATGTGTCTTGAGAAACACTTGGACCATCTCTACGAAGAGATTCTGGGGGAGGAAGGTCTGAATGCAGACCCACTTAGCTCCATTCACATTTGGAAGAAGACTAGCAATAATTAACACCAGATTTCTAATCAGCAGAGTTTCCGTGTTGTGCAGTTTCTGGTAATAAGAAGAATCCAAAAAGGATGGGGGGGTGACCTTGAAAAAGGTCAGGGAGCTGCCTCAAGGGCAGCTGGGGGCCTTGAGGAAACACAACCTTAGGTGGGAAAAAGGGTGCCTGAGGAGAGGGGCAGCAGCCTGCAGGATAAGAGAAAGAAGTGAGCCTAGGATCCAGTTGGCAGGAAGCCTCTCTAGCCCGTGGAAATTCTTTCTCCAAAGCAAGCTTGACTGCCCTCTCACTGGTCATGTAAATTTTAAAAAGTAATGTTGCCCCAGACACCCCGCAATGCCAGCCCTCTGATGACAACCCGAGGGGCCCACCTTCACCTTTACCTACGCTGTTTCCTAATTTCTCACTGAAGCTCCTGGCAAAATCAGGTGTTTCTGGAAGTCAGGAGCTGTCGCCCCCCCCCCCCCC